AAGTTTTGATCATCCCTGCGTAGAGTTGTTTCCAACCCTAGAATTCGCGCATAGAACCACAGGTTTTAATAATGAAAAGGTGCTGAGAGACTATCCATGCCCTCAAATGCTAGCAGGCAGCTGACATACATACTGAAAGCTGCTAGGTCTAAAAATGTTTGGAGTCCGTTGATTCATAGACCTCAGGGAAGCCCCAGGAAAATGACTTTCAGGGATGTTTATCAGGCAGAAAGCCTGGGGAATTCTGTTGATGGGTTGGTTGATTTTTAATTTATTTTCATTTTTGGTAGTGTTTGTGGGCTACTCATAGCTCAGTGCTTGAGGGTCACTCCCAGCAGTGCTCAGGGACCCGGTGCTGCCAGGTATTGAATTTGAGACTCCTGCATGCAAAGCATATGCTTAATATGTTGAGCTATTATCCAACCCGCCACAGAGTTTTTTAAAAAATTTTTATTAATGAAACACCATGAGGTACAGTTGTAGACTTAAAATTTTTGTGCTTGGGTTTCAGTTATACAAGTGATCGAGAACCCATCCCTCCACCTGTGCCCATTCTCCACCACCAATAATCCCAGTATTCCTCCCAACCCTCCCATCCCCCCAACTCACCCCATCTCTGTGGCAGGGCATTCCCTTTTGTTCTCTCTCTCCTTTTGGGTGCTGTGGTTTGCAAAAGAGGCATTGAGCGCCACAGAGAGTTTTAAAGATACTTCTGCTTAGGTCTGTACCTAAAGAGTCTGGTCAAAATAGTCTTTCCCTTTCTTTCGGAAAGTGGAGGTGGTGGAGTGAAAGCTTTATGTCCCATTTTGGGCCTTCTCTCTTAGGGATCTACACACGTGGGACTGAGATGATCACTTTGGCTCATATAGACAACACTGAATTTAATAGTCTCACACTTGCTTGGCAGTGCTCTAAACCTGCAGCTCCTCTGTGACCCCATGAACAGTAACTTCAAATCCTAACCACTGGTCTTGTTAGCACTGGAGGGGGCAGTGCCAAGCAGTCCCAAGCACTCTTTGCTGGCCTCAAGGCTTTAAAACAAAAGAATTAAAGAAAAGGGATAAGACTAAAGTAAAAAAAAAGTTGTGAAGCTTCAGAAAGGGAGAGGTCTGAATAAAAATCTCTTGCTGTTATCTGTACATCTCCTGAACAACTCGATTCATCACTGCACACTCTTCTACCTCCCATTGCAGGGTGAAATCTAGCAGGGAAGGAAAAAAGTCACATCCAGTCTAATCCTTCAGAGACTCCAAGTGGAGCTAAGTACAAAGGTCCACCCTCAAGGGACATAGCAAACACAATGGGGAAACCACATAGAAGCCAACCATGATCAATGAGTGAAAATAATAGAAAGGTCCACTGATACCAATAAGCTCTATGAATTCTGACTTTATAATGAATTTATTGACATATTTGGGTTGTTTAATGAGCTCAAAAAAACAATGGCACAAAAGAGTAGAGCAAAATTGAAGAAAATATAATCAGAACTGACAAATGAAGAGAAAGGTAGGTGATATAAAAACCTCAATAGAAAGGCTAAGCAACAGAATAACAGCAGCTGAGGAAAAGATCAGTTAGCTCCAAGATGTAATGCAAGAAGCCTCTTATAAAACTATAGAAGAAGAAAAGTCTAAAAGAAATGAATAGCACATCAGAAAATTATGGGATGAGTTCAAGAGGAACAATATAAGAATCGTCTGAGTCCCTGAAGAATAGGAAGACAAGTTTGACAAAGAGCCATCACCTAAAGAAATCACAGATAAGAATTTATCAGACTTGAGTTCAGGCACCTAGATCCAAGAAGCCAGAAGAGTACAGACAAAACAGATTCAAGTTGAAAAACTCCAAGACACATTATAATTAGAATGACCAAAGCTAAAGGCAAGCTTATTGAAAACAGTAAGATTTTTGGAAAAAAGGAAACTACTTAAGAGTGATCTGTACTGGGGGCTGGAGCGATGGTACAGCAGGTAGGGCGTTTGCCTTGCAGGCAGCCGACCCAGGTTTGATTCCCAACATCCCATACGGTCCCCCAAGCACCACCAGGAGTAATTCCTGAGAGCAGAACCAGGAGTAACCCCTGAGCATCGCCATGTGTGACCCAAAAAGAAAAAAAAAAGAATGATCTGTAATATGGTATTTTATTAAACATAAACAAATATATTTTTAGTATAAAATACAGTTTTAGAGTTTTATAGGGCTACACAGATTTTTTTATTTATTTATTTTTATTAGTGAAACACCATGAGGTACAGTTGTAGATTTACAATTTTTTGTGCTTGAGTTTGATTATACAATGATCAGATACCCATCCCTCCACCAGTGCCCATTTTCCACCACCATGGATAATATCCCCCCCACCCCCATCCCCCCATCCCCCCCTGCCTCTGTGGCAGGGCAATCCCCTGTGTTCTCTCTCTCCTTTTGGGTGTTGTGGTCTGCAAAAGAGGCATTGAGTGGCAAACATGTTCAGTCCATAGTCCACTTTCGACATGCATCTCCCCTCCCTCCTGGGAGGGACCTCCAAACACCCTTTATTTGGTGTTCCCTTCTCTATCTGAGCTGCCCTTTCCTCTAGAATGCCCAACTGGCCACTAAGCTATGGAGTAATCCTCCTGGTGCTGATCTCAGCTATTCTTGGGTATTAATCTCATATTTTGTTACTTTATATCCCCCAGATGAATGCAATCTTTCTATGTCTATCCCTCTCTTTTCGCTTAGCATGATACTTTCCATGTTGTACCACTTGTATGTAAATTTCATGACTTCATCTTTTCTAAGAGCTACATAGTACTCCATTGTGTAGATGTACCAAAGTTTCTTTAACCAGTCATCTGTTCTTGGGCATTCAGGTTTCTTCCAGTTTCTGGCTATTGTAAAGAATGCTGCAATGAACAAACAAGTGCAGATGTCACTTCGACTATACATTTTTGCCTCTCTGGGATATATTCCCAGGAGTGGTATTGCTGGGTCAAATGGGAGCTCAATTTCTAATTTTTTGAGAATCGTCCATACTGTTTTCCAGAAGGGCTGAACCAGTCGACATTCCCACCAACAGTGAAGGAGTGTCCCTTTCTCCCCACATCCACGCCAGCAAGGGTTGCTTTTGTTCTTTTGAATGAGGGCTACACAGATTTTATTTTATCTATTTATTTTTCTTTTTTTTGGATCACACCTGCCGATGCTCAGGGGTTACTCCTGGCTCTGCACTCAGGAATCACTCATGGCAGTGCTCAGGGGATCATATGGGATGCTGGGAATTGAACCCGGGTCGACCGCATGCAAAGCAAATGCCCTACCTACTGTACTCCAGCCCCTACACAGATTTTATTTTGAATTAAAAAATATCCTCACTCTTACTCAATTGTATATTTGCAGGATTTATCTCTTTCCTATAAATGCCTAAAAGTATTAGTATGTTATTAATTAAAAAATTATCTACCTATAAAAAAAGACAGTTTGGGAAAAATTTAATCACTTTAATAATTTAAAATTTTGTGGAATTTTCAGAAGTATAGCTTTATTCATCCATATGTGTGTAGTTGTTACCACCTCCACAATAAAATATTAAAATTCTTTCTCATCTGTGGGACATAAAGAAACACAGTAAAGGAACAACAAATGCACAAAGGCATTGAGACTAGAGCTTTTGTCTTGAGAACTGACCTTACCTGAGGAAGGTCCTTGGGTCCCTTGGATATGGTGGGGTGAAGAGGATGGGTGGCAATGGTGTGGTGTTTAGATGATATATGCATGGAAGGTGTCAAAAACAGTAGTCTAAGAACAAGAGTCTTTTTAGAAAGAAGCTCTTGTGAATGCCCTGCCACAGAGGCAGGGTGGGTTGGGGGGGATGGGGGGTGGGAGGGATACTGGAATCCGTGGTGATGGAAAATGGGCACTGGTGGAGGGATGGGTATTTGATCATTGTATAATTGAAACCCAAGCACAAAAATTTGTAAGTCTACAACTGTACCTCATGGTGCTTCACTAATAAAAATTAAAAAAATAAATAAAAAGAAAAAAAAAAAGGAAAGAAGCTCTTGCTGAATTCACTGTCAGCACCCTGGGTCTTTCAATGCCCAAGTTTCAACATTTTCCTTATCCTCATTGTAATAATGTTTGGTATAATAAATGAATAGTTTATGGCTATATGAAAGCAAAAATGAAAACTAATTTTATCAGACTATCACATAAAATATTAGCACAATCTAAGTAGTGCATGATGTGATACATATATTTATTAATCTAATTGAGATAGCCAGTTATTAGCAATTGTTTTTATTTGTATGCTTATTTATATAATGTATTCAAATATAAATGCACAAGTATGGATTTATTTACATAATGATTTGATGATTAATAATGATAATTAACTTACCATAATATCTCCTACAACATAATTGATTAATCATATTAAACATTGTAATGTTATTTGTAAATATAATGCACATATAATACATAATAAATAGACCTGGCCTATATAATTAGTATATTTTTTCACTTCTGCTTTGTTTTGGCAACTTTTCAAAATATTTTATTCTTCAGAACGTTAAGAACCTAAGTTGCATATATCTGGAACATGCGTGGGAGGGCTCCTGAGTGCCCGCTGCCTCCATTCCCGGGCTGCCACCATCATTCTTGTGTGCAAACTAAGGCATAGGGACGTGTTCCTCAGTCCCCTGGCAGCCCTGGACGTGGCACTCACATTCACTTTCCAGCAGGCCCTCCAGGGGTTCTGTTCATGGAGATAGTGAATTGAACGTTTATTAGAGCAGGACATAGCAGTTTAAAAGACTCCCTCCTCTTTCCCATGCATATGAGTTTGGAGTAGAACTGGGCCTAGCAGACCAGGACAAGTGGTTCCATTGGATCAGATCCCCCCTCAGGACTCTTCAGTCCTTGGCTCCTTCCCTGCGCCTCCCTTTTCTCCACCTTCCACCGCCCAGCTGGTGGTTTCCTGTACCCCTGCTTTGCCCCATCCCCAGTGCCATACCCCTGCCTCAGTGGGCCCTTTGTCCCATAGGCTGAGTCTGCTGCTTGGGACAGAGGCTGTCCTTCCACAGGTGGTAGGTGATAGAGGTTGATACGGTGAGCCAGGCCAGGTAGGGCAGCAGGAGCAGAGCCGCCAGCTTGTTGATGGGCTGCCAGATGAATGCTGTGCTCAGCACCAGCCCATAGAGCAACAGCAGGTGCAATAGTGCCTAGGCGGGACCCAGGGAGGTCAGGCAGGTGGCCGTTCACCTCTCACAGCACCCTGGACCCCGGGTGTCTAGGCTCTCCCCGGAGTGCAGAGCAGCCTGCCTATTCCCTTGTCCCCTGACCAGCCTGCTCTGCTCTGTGCTTCCGGGGCTTGGGCTCACCCCTGCTTCCAAACCCCTGTCTTACCAGACCAGAGTTTTGGGTCACAAATAAGAAAATCAGGACGGTCCAGCTGATGGCAAGCTGAGTGGCGTAGAGGCCGAGAGGCAGGGCCAGGGGCCGGCCAAAGCCCCCTCCAAGGTCCTTCCACACCAGGTAGGAAGCATAGCTGTGGGGAGATGGTGAGAAACCCTCAAAGGAACACTGGTGGTCACCAAGGGGGCTTCTCTGTGGGTTAAAATGAGAGCCTGGGTCTGGGCCTGTGGTTTTCACCCTCCGTAGGCCTCCATGGTATAAAAACAAGAACTACTTTGTAGACTGCTAAGGCAGAAAGAACTATAATAGAAATCTTTATACAGAGGTTATAGTATCATGACATGATCCAGAAGTACCATATATAACATTATATTTTGAAGGTGACAGGAAATGTCCTAAAATGGGAAGGGTAAATGAAAACCACTGTCCAGGAATCATCTGAAGGATGGATGGAAGTGAGGGGGGAGTCAGGCACAGTAAGATGGGGACAAAGAGGGGAGACATGGAGAGGTTCAAAGGAGAGGGATGACGGACCAGGACTGGGCCAGGGGGCCACCCCTCTGGAGAGCTGTGTCTTCAGTAGCCCAGGTACTCCCTGTGGGTGCCTTGGCCATGGCTTAGAAAGGGATGCTCACCCCATGACAGAGTAGATAGTCGTCCACACAAGTAACAAGACTTTGTGGTGTGGGCACCAGGGCAGCTTCCTCGGGTTGTCACACCAGGAAGACATTCCGCGGCGGCCCGTGAGCAGCCAGACCAGGATGGGCCCAAGGTGGGGCAGGGCCACAAACATGGCTCCTTGGGGCCACATTCTCCAAGAGGAAACAAGATCTGGGGAGGCAGAGATGGGACATTCCCCTCAGTCTTTTCCTGGCTCACATTGTCCACCTCCTCCCTAAGCCCATTCCCTGGCTTGATCCAAGGAAGTTCAACCACATTGGGCAATCCCCTTCCTTGGACTGGTGCCTGTGGCTCTTAGGGGCCCTTCCTGGCCTCTTTCCTGGCTCCCATGGATCTATTTTCTCCACAGCCAGGGCATCTGGCACCAGGATCTACCATGTCTGGAAAGGTGCCTTCCTCTGAAAAATCTCTGCTCATGCATGCCTCTTTCTCCTGGAGATGTGTCAGGCACAGATGTCTTCTTGTTTCCAGGCTAGGTGGCATGGGTCAGGTACACAGCAAGCCCTAGGTAAGGACGTCACCTAAACTGAACACCACCGGGGCTGGAATGATAGCACAGCAGATAGGGTGTTTGCCTTGCATGCACCTGGGTTCAATCCCCAGCATCCCATATGGTCCCCTGAGCACCGCCAGAAGTAATTCCTGAATGCATGAGCCAGGAGTAACCCCTATGCAATGCCAGGTGTGACCAAAAAAAGAAAAAAAAAACTGAACACCACCACACTGACAAACCACTCAGACAAAAAACTGTGCTCTAAAGGCAAAAGGCAGAGGTGGGGACAGAGGCAGACGTTTCTGATCCAGAAAGAACCAACCTGTTCACGCAGGGCTTATCTTACTCCTCCAGACAACGGACTTAGAGGTCCCTGTCCCCCGTTGGAAACTCCCGCTCAAATGCAGACTCAGCTGGCAGTTTAATCTATGAATTATTAAGTACCCCTCTGGGACTGAGGGATGGCCTCACTATTCCTGCTTGTAGCAGTGTGGAGTGACAAGTTGCTGGAGTCCAATGACTTGGCTTTGGACAGAAAGCGGCTGTGCGAATCTGCATATTTCTGGCATGTCACTTGCATGTGGGATGTGATGCAGACCCTCCTCCAGCCTGAGGAAACCTCGGATTTCCTTCCTTTCCTTTGTACCTTCAGTTTCAGTCTCCTCCTTCTCCACGGGTGACTGGTCAGGATAGAAAGGAGAAGTTTGTTCTGAGAGTCCAAGACTGGCCTTTCTCCTTCCATTTCCTCCTCTCCCCTGACCTAGACGTTCCATGGGCAGCGCTGACCGGCCTGCCTGAGCCTTTGCCGTTTCCTTCCCCTTCCTGTGCAGAGGCACAGCTCTAGCTTCCTGCCTTCTAGCTCCGTTTTCTACTTTCCTATCCAGAATGCTGTTCCCATCCCCTATTCTCTCCACACTCACCTCCTTGGTCTCCTCTCCCCCACCAGCCCAGGACCTCCTGTTCCTTCTGTGCTCCCCTTACCTCGGGCAGCACACTTCGCAGACTGGGTGGCGGTGAATCAATATGGTGGGAATGCAGAGGAGGGTGGGGATGGGGCAAGGGTGGGGCAGGACTGGTCTGCCTTTCTCCAGTGATAAGCAGCGAGGCACTGTTTGGGGAGAGTGATTGGCTACATGCATGGTGAGAGAAACGCTTCTTTCCTCTCACTAGGTATGTGATTGACCAGGTTCTGGAGGACCCTGTGATAGATGGCCGAGGAACTGGCAAGGTGTGACCTGGACTTCCAGAAAGGTCAGCCCGAAATGTGCCAGCCCGAAAAGTTTCAGACACCTGTGGTCTCCACACCCATGGGATGTAGGTCCATGGGGACAGTAGGGCACATATGACTTTACTAGAACCTTACTGAAACAAGACTGCCCCTAAGTGAGACAAGTACCCAGGTGCGTTGGTATCTAAACATTTCCTGGTTTTAGACATGCAAGTTGGCATGGCTCTTTCTGGCTTACAACATAAGCAAATGTAAACACATTTACAATATCATGTCCCAATGAGAAGCCAGTCTCTAGGGTGATGCAGAGTCTTGTCCAGCAAAAGCACATGTCTACCCTCTGCCCCTGCAAAGTCCTGAGCCCCTCTTCCTTGCTGGCATCTATTTGAATATGACAAGTAGTGCTTTGTAGCAGGAGTTTGGGGCTTTGTGTTAGCATCTAACCTTTCAGTACATGTATTGCAAACCATAATGCCCAAAAGGAGAGAGAGAGACAGACAGACAGACAGACAAAGAGACAGAGAGACAGGGAGACAGAGAGAGAGAGGAGAGAGAAGGGAGAGAAAAAGAGAGAGAGAGAGAGGTGCCTGCCATAGAAGTAGGTTGAGGGAGTGGGGTGGGAGGGAAACTGGGGACATTGGTGGTGGGAAATGCATACAGATGGAGAGATGAATGACAGAACGTGACTGAAACCCAATCGTAAACTTGGAAAAATATAGCTGAGGAGGATCTATTTCTAGGGCAAGACAAGTAGAGGGCTGGTCAGTGAAGAATCAGGAGTGGCTGGGGGAGCTAAGTTATGGTGTTTTTTTCTTTTTTTTGCTTTTGGGGTCACATCCGGTGATGCACAGGAGTTACTCCTGGTTCATGTACTCAGGAATTACTCCTGGCAGTGCTCGGGGAACCATATGGGATGCTGGGAATTGAATTGAACCCGGGTCTGCTGCGTGCAAGGCAAATGCCCTACCCGCTGTGCTATTGCTCCAGCCCTAAGTTATGTTTTGAGCTGGCAGCAGTGGACCCCAGAAGGAGGATGTAGTGAGGCCATAGAAGTGCTGTCAGTGGGAGAACTGGGGGTTGAGTTGGGGGAGGAGCTCATTTGCTCCAGGCAAGAAGGTGAATTAGCTTCTTAGACCCAGTGAGGCTCTGGGGAGCTGCACTTACAACTGTCTCAGGTTGTGAGGCAGGGCAAAGAGCTTGAACTCTGGGCTTTGGTGGTTCCAGAAATGTTGTTGCTACCATCTTTACAGCATACAGCCGGAAGAGAAGGGTCACATGGAGGGCGGGACCCACAGCTCCTGGAGAAAAAGAAAAAAACAGGTTCCAAAAAGAGCCGAGATCACCGGGAAGTCCCAGATGGGGTAGGTACCGCATCCTGCCTCCCCCAGATGGAACCCCGGTGACCAGAAGCTTCTACAAGCACAGCTCGAGTATGCAGGAACTAGGACTTTTCCTTAAAACCGTGCGGCCGCGTAAGTGGCCGCATGACATCTCTCTATATACAAAGTGATCAATGGGAAGTAAACCACCCAACGTTTCTCCCTGAAAATCAGAGTTAAGTTTGAAGCACGGCCACAGCCCCAGAAACACAAGGACTTAATGCAGAACCCAGCAGCTTGGAGCAGAAAAGTGAACGGACTATGCGTTAATCCAGGCCATCATGTCCGCCCGGAGGGGAAAGGGTGTTGCCCCATTCGCCCTCTCTTCTCTGGAAAGAAAGATGGCGGCCACATGGGAGCCTTGTGGACAGCAGGTATGAGCCGGGGGTGTGGGGGCGACTAAAACCTCATGGGAAGGGGGGCGTTCCGGTCCGTCCTTCACGCCCTACCGAGGTCACCAGTTGCCCCCCGCGAGTGGCTCTCCAGCACAGCCACGGCCCCAGGAGCACAAGGACTTAATGCAGAACCCGGCAGCTTGGAGCAGAAAAGTGAAAGGACTATGCGTAATCCAGGCCATCATGTCTGTCCGGAGGGGAAAGGGTGTTGCCCCATTCGCCCTTTCCTCCCTGGAAAGAAAGATGGCGGCCGCATGGGAGCCTTGTGGACAGCAGGTATGAGCCGGGGGTGTAGGGGCGACTAAAACCTCATGGGAAGGGGGTCGTTTCGGTCCGCCCTTCACGCCCTACCTAGGCCACCAGTTACCCCCCACTAGCGGCTCCCCAGCACAGCCACGACTCCAGAGCACAGAAACCAATTTCTTAACTATCTGACTTTCAGTAGAAATACTTCCAGGGTCAATAAGTAAAATAGCAGAAATCCAAAACCAACATTTAATTCTTGAACCCAGCTGTAGAAAGCAAATCACTTCACAATGCTTTTTCAGCATGTCTGATTTGGGGGGCGGGTAAACTCTAAATAATAGTGATGAATCTTTTAATGAAACAATGAATCTAATCAAAGCAGATAGAGTGTTAACTAGAATTCATCTGCCTCACAGGGTCTGGGAGGGGTGGGGGGTGAGGTCTTATTGGGGTTCTTCATGGTAAAAAATAAGTATTGGTAAAGGGAAATGTGTTTGATATTTGCATGACTGAGGCCTAAACCTGAAAGCTTTGTAACCTTTCCCACAGTGATTCAATAAATAAATAAATTGGAAAAAAAAAGAAATGTTGTTGCTATAGAAACTTAGTTGTTATCCCTTCTTTCTTTCCCTTTTCTTGGTCCCTTCCTTGTACCTTGATAGGAAAGGGAGTCATTATACAGGGGACCCAGAATGTACTTTTATTTCCTCTATTTCTCTTCCAGTTTTAATTTTTTGTTTGTTTATTTTGTTTTGGTCATACTCAATGATGGTCAGGGGCTACTCTTGACTCTGCTCCCAGAGATTGCCCTTGGTGGTGCTTGGGAGACCTTATGAGATGTAGGGGATCAACCCGGCTTGGCTGCATGCAAGGCAAAGACCTGACCCACTGTCCTCTCCTTCCAGCCCCCTTCAATCATTTTCCTTTGTTCTAGAAGTGGAAAGTCAGAGACCTGGGGAAGGCAGGAATCAGGGAGAGAAGGGGGTGTTCCTGGAGCTCCTGGAAGCCCTACTATCCCCTTCTGTCTTGCCTTCAGCTGTAGTTTAATGATTTCACACCCATCTCACTGTGGGGAGATGACTTTCTTTCCTTATCTGTGGAATGAAGATAAATATAACACTGTGAATTATGGCTGCTGAGAGGAACAAATGAGACTGGTCTCCAGAGTGTCTTAGCACAGCAACACAGCCGGAAACTCCATAAATGGGGCTATCCTTATTGCAGTTGTCATTCCAGTTATCTTTAAAGGAAGGGAAGGGATGGAAAGGAAAACCTACTTCCCTGCCCCTCATGCCGACCAGATTGCTTGCCAAGTCACCTGGTGCATCTCTGTGTCCAGCAAGAGCACTGACCTAAAATGCTACTGCACCATCAATGAGATTTGATTTGAAATTGAAAGGAAAGTAATGCTTGCCTATCACCATTTCAGTGAATACAAAAGGCAATCATCTCTTCCCTCAGCCTCCAAGTGGAATTTTCATGTTGGGGACAGGGTCTCAGCTCTTGGTGAGCCATAAGAATAAAGTCCCAAGCATGTGATCATCTAATCTTCGATAAGGGGGCAAGAAAAGTGAAATGGAGCAGGGAAAGTCTCTTTAATAAATTGTGCTGGCAAAACTGGACGGTTACATGCAAAAAAGTGGGCTCAGATCTCTGCCTAACGCCATGCACAAAAGTAAGATCAAAATGGATTTATGACCTCAACATCAGACCAGGTTCCATAAAGTTCATTGAAGACAAAGTTGGCAAAACCCTCCATGATATTGAGGCTAATGGTATCTTCAAAGATGTCATGCCACTGGCCAAGCAAGTGAAAACAGAGATAGACAAATGGGACTATCTTAAACTAAGAAACTTCTGCACCTCAAAAGAAACAGTGACCAAAATACAAAGACAGTCTACAGAATGGGAAAGGATATTCGCCAAATACACATCCGACAAGGGGTTTATATCAAGGATATACAAGGTACTGGCTGAACTCCGCAAGAAGAAAGCACCCAACCCCATCAAAAAATGGGGCGAGGAAATGAACAGAAACTTTCGCAAAGAAGAAATCCAAATGGCTAAAAGGCACATGAGAAAATGCTCTACATCACTAATCATCAGGGAAATGCAGATCAAAACAACAATGAGATATCATTTCACACCACAGAGGCTGGCCCATATCCAAAAGAACAAAAGCAACGGGTGCTGGCGTGGATGTGGCGAGAAAGGGACCCTCCTTCACTGCTGGTGGGAATGTCAACTGGTCCAAGCCTTTTGGAAAACAGTATGGACGATTCTCAAAAAATTAGAATTTGATCTCCCATTTGACCCAGCAATACCACTCCTGGGAATATTCCCCGGAGAGGCAAAAAAGTATAGTCGAAATGACATCTGTTTGTTCATTGTAGCACTCTTTACAATAGCCAGAATCTGGAAAAAACCTGAGTGCCCGAGAACAGATGACTGGTTAAAGAAACTTTGGTACATTTACATAATGGAGTACTATGAAGCTGTTAGAAATGATGAAGTCATGAAATTTACATACAAGTGGTACTACATGGAAAGTATTATGTTAAGCAAAATGAGTCAGAAAGAGCGGGATAGGAAGAGAAAGATTGCATTCATCTGGGGAACATAAAGCAACAAAATGGGAGATTAACACTCAGGAGTGGCCGAGATTAGTACCAGGAATTTTGCTCCATGACTTGGAGGCCAGCCACATGTGCTAGGGGAAAAGGAAGCTCAGATAGAGAAGAGAGCACCAAATAAAGGATGTTGGGAGGATCCTCCCAGGGTGGGAGAAGCATGCTGAAAGTAGACTATAGACCAAACATGATTGCCACTCAATGCCTCTCTTGCAAACCACAGGACCCAAAAGGAGAGAGAGAGAACAAGGGGGAATGCCCTGCCACAGAGGCAGGGGGGGATGGGGGGTAGGAGGGATGCTGGGACCCGTGGTGGTGGAGGATGAGCGCTGGTGGAGGGATGGGTACTTGATCACTGTATAACTGAAACCCAAGCACAAAAATTTCTAAGTCTATAACTGTACCTCATCGTTTTTCACTAAAAAAAAAAAGAATAAAGGGAGTTGAGAGGGCAAGTGGCCTGGATTTCTCTAGGACAGTCCCTAGGAGGGATTGTCACACAGGGGTCTGAGGTCTTGGAAGGAGGCACCTGTGCTTAACAGGATAGACTGAGCCATTGAGTAACTAAATTCCATTCCTCAAAAGTTTTATGGCAGCCAATAAGATATTCTCTTTGGCAGACATAAACCTGATCTTCAGACAGTGTTTATCTGAGTGGGAAAAATCACAAGGACCACAAATATGGAGTTAGGGACCTGGAGAGTGTGTGTGTGTGTGTGTGTGTGTGTGTGTGTTGTTGGAGGGTTTGATGGGGGGATGCAACAGTGACAGGTTTCTGCCAGGTTAAGTCATGCAGATTTTGTCTCCAGGTGATTACAATGAGAAGGGGAGCTGTCTTCATTCCTCATTCCAGTGCATCCCGCACACCCCAGCCAGATCAATCCAGTCTGCTATGTTGGGAAGTGGGATTAGGGTGTGGATAAAGGAGACAGAGAGGCACAGAGACAGAGAAAGAGACAGACAAAATTCTGTTGAGTGAATTGATCTGGCTGGGTGCTTGCCTTGCTGTGGTCAACTAGATTTGATACATGATATTCCCCCTGAGCGCTGCAGGAAGTGAAACCTGAGCACAGAACCAGGAGTAGTCCTTGAGCACTGCTGAGTGTGGTTCAGACCTTCCCCTTGATGTAGGCAGGTAGATAGGGAAAGGCCCTTGGTGATGAAACTTGAATTAACAAAGTTTCATCGAAGAAGAATTCTAGGACTGATCCACCTCGTGGATACAGAAAACAAAGACCTGATAAGACCATCCCCAGACCCTGAAGATATGGGCCTCCTCCCCATGAAATTCCTCTTTTTTGAAAATCTTCGAACCTCCCTTTCAATCCGGTTAACTCCAGCGAGCCAGCCCCAAGGAGATTCCAGGACATTCCAAAGATTCTCGGACCCCCCTTTCAATCCGATTAACTCCAGCGACCCAGCCCCAAGGAGATTCCAGAACATTTCGAGACAGAAGGATCTATAAGAGCCAGCTCAAGAACCCATTTGGGGCTCTCTCCACCCTCGAAGAAGCCCACGTTCTCCCTGGATGCGTTACTCTCTCTCCCTTACTCTCCATTCCCCCGCTTATCTGCTTATCCTTTTCTCTCCCTCTCCAAAAGCCTCCAAATAAAATCTGTTACTTCACTGCTTGTCTACTCCTGAAATTCTTTTCTGTGAGCGAGACAAGAACCCTAGAAACCCCGGGTAAGGCTTGGGACTGGTCTCTCCTTTCCTGCAAAGAGCAAATTCTCACCCCAACTTGAGTCCGTGGCTCCCCGAGCAATCGGGTGGCGGGGATCAACTCCCGTGCCGAGAAGACCAAGCGGACTTCAGGTGTGTCTTGATGGCCACCTTGTGGGGCTGGCAGCGCTTAGGCCTGTGCTGAGCAGGTGCTCACTGCAGACTTTACCGATCCTAGCCTACCCAGGGACTCTTGGGTGGCAGAGGTGGAGTGAGAGAGAGTGACTGTCTTTCTCTCCTCTGGACTCACATGAGCCACCCGTGGGGTCCACCGACATCACCCTTACCCTTATCCCAGGATCCTCACCAAAAAATAAATCTGCATACCACCCTGTAGGGGTTAGCAGCAGCCTGAACATCCACGTCCAGCTTCCCAACAAGGCCTGCACCTATAGCCATGACACCGCCCCCGTCAAGACCAAAGCCTGGAAGCCCCTGAGACAGGCACTCCCACTGTAGGTGAGCACCTGGTAGGGGGCGATGCAGCAGTGCTAAGTTACTGCCAGGTTAAGTCAAGCAGATTTTGTCTCCAGGTGATTACAGTGAGAAAGGGAGCTGTCTTCATTCCTGCACCTATTTCTGGATAGAGCTACCCTTTCTCCGTCCCTCCCACATGACTTGCAAATTCCTTATCCCCTGGCCGGCTCCTGTTTCCTCTGTCCCGGAATCTGTGAATCTGGTCTCACCCCAACCTTGACCAGGACTTCACACCTCGCACCACTGTCTTCTAGTCACAGATGCCTGCTGTGACCACAGCCCTTTGTCTAGAGGGACTCATCCCATCCTTGCTTCTGTCTCTAAAGCTGTATCTACCCTGTAACCTTGTTCGTGATTGCTCCCTACTGTCTGAGGTAGTTTGTCCCCTTATCTCATGTCTTCCTTTCCCCTAAACTTTTCCAGGATCTCAGGTTCTTCTTTCTCCCAGTCTCCTTGCCACTGACCAGACAGGAGTCATGTGTGGGGCCCCTACAAGAATGGTGGATGCTGCCCACCTTTCCTCTCTCCCATGCCTCAGAATACTTGCTGGCTCTTCTCCCCATTCAGTGCCTGTGACTGAGACAGCTCACCCTTTGTCCCCTGTCTCCTCTGTCACTAGTTCCTCCTTATGCGTGCCCTGGAAGTGCTCCTGGGAACTTTAGCGTCCCTGTTAAGGCCTGGGCTACTGCAGGAGCAAAGTGATAGGGGTTTAGCGCCTCACATCCTCTGCTGGCCGTGCATGATTTTTCTGACATGGCCTCCTTACTAAGATCGTACAAAGTTATCCACACACAATCCTCCCTTCCCAAATGGTTCTCCCTTACCCATTCTCTGTTTATGATTCTCTGCATGGTCCTCCCTGCATGATCCTTTGAACAGTTCTTCTCATTTGACCTACATGTACCTTGTACATGACCTGCAGGATCCTTCCTGCACATTCCTCTCCACGTCATCCTCCCCTTATGGTCTGCCTACAAAGCCCTTCTCTCAAAGTCCTCCTACCCAATTCTCTTGGAATGATCCTCCCTATCTGGGCCTCCTGAATGGCCATCCCTGCATAGTCCTCCCCCACTACAGCCCTCCCATACATATCTCAGCACTCTCCCCTGGCATGGTCTTCCTGGTCTCCTCCACAGCCTTTACACATGTACTGAGGTGCCCACTGGTCGAGCACTGCAAGTTACTGCAGCTGACTGTGTTCCGTTAACCACTGGTGCCTGGGCATTCCCACCTGTAGCAACATATCTCTGTAATACATCCTGTGCCCTGCAGTGGCCCATCACCAATGAGCAACCCCATGGTGGACATCTGCATAGGCCATGCCAGCTCTTCAACTTCACCGGGGTCTGAAGGAACCATTACCTGAAGTTCAAGCACATCTCTTAGGTGAGGGAGGTGAGGGGGTCTGGAGGACCCCACCCAAGGAGAAAGGTCTGAGTGGTATTCCCCTGTGATAGAAAGCTGGGAACCTCAGGTGTCTTTTGGACACTCCTTGGGCAGGCAGCTTCCTCCAGCTGCCTCTGGGAATTCCCAGGCCTTGACCTGATATGCAGTTACTCAGTTACTTAACCCTTTTTCAGTCTGAGTCCTCCAGTGAGAGAGCAGGTGAGCAGTGTGGGAGAGAGGAATATGCTTTTTTAGCAGCAGGGAGGAGTCACTGATGGGCTCGTCTGTCTTTGCTCAGAGGAATCCCATTATTTGTTCAGGCATTCTTGCCTTCAATATATACTATAGCACAGTGGGTAGGGCATTTGCCTTGCACGTGGTTGACCCGGGTTCAATTTCTCCATCCCTTTTGGAGAGCCCGGCAAGCTACTGAGAGTATCCTGCCCTCACAGCAGAGCCTGGCAAGCTAGCTCCCCGTGGCATATTCGATATGCCAAAAACAGTAACAAGTCTCACAATTTAGACGTTACTGGTGCCTGCTCGAGCAAATCGATGAACAACAGGACAGTGCAGACAGTGCATTCTTGCCTTCCCGGCACAGACTGATGGATTTGCCAGTGGTGTTCATGTGACTGTAAACAGGGCATGCATGCACCTGAATTTTGGGGGTAATGAGAAGGAGAGTGGGAGGGGAAGTCCCTGTAGTGTGTGGATGGAAGGGGGGGGGGAAGGCAGACCACTTCACGCCTGTCCCTCACAGGCTTTGGGAACTCCTGTTGTTTCCTCCTCTCTTTGCTTCCCCTTGTTTCTCACTGTAGCACTCTGCCCAGTACTTGCTATATAGAAAGACTTTTTACACATTCATGGGGCAGCCCACTCACGGAAGCCCTCTATTTTCACCCCTCCCCAGGTGGGGAAAATATGGATGATAACTGCTGCTGACTAGTGCCCCATCTCCACATCTGGCATGGGAAGTGCCCTTTCCTCTCCTGCTTAGTGAGAAAAGCAGGCAGTATGGGAGTCCCACATGCATCCCCTGTTGGTCACCCTCCTCCCTCAACCCCACAGGGACTCTGCAGCTCCTCCTTGGTCATACTCATACGCTTCCTCTTACAGGCCAGAAGCCCAGCCACAGGCAGAGAAGATGACAGAGCTTTGTGCTCCAGCTTCTGAAGTCCCTCACACTTGCTCTCTAGCTACCCCAGAACATTTTCCCTCTCACTTACCCTCCTCGCCTCTATGTAGCCACCAACAATAGGACTGTGCAGACCAATGAGATCATTGCCACCATGACACCTTCCAGAACATGAGTTTCAACTGATGGTCTGTAAATGCAGGACCTGAGGGGAGCACTGCACAAAGTTTGGGATATCATAAGCCTGGGGCCCCGTAAACAAGGCCCTGAGAAATGGCAGGTGACAACATCCTTCCAGGACATAGGTCACCTTGCCTCTAGGTATCCATTTCCCCTTACTCTCCCTCATATATCCATCCATGCATCCAGCAGGAGAGCAAAAGAACAAACCCTGGAGGAAGCCTTTCTCCTGGCCTAGAGGAACCTGGACGTCAGTGGAAAGTGGTGTCTCTCTTGGCTGGCTGTTCACATCTAAGAAATGATGTTCTTATTTCAGTATGACCACATGGCAAGGAAGGGGTTCTCAAGTAGAAGGGAGATAACCCACTCCTTTTTTTTTATTTTTGGGTCACACCCGGCGATGCACAGGGGTTACTCCTGGCTCATGCACTCAGGAATTACTCCTGGTGGTGCTCAGGGGACCATATGGGATGCTGGGGATCAAACCCGGGTTGGCTGCTCACAAGGCAAATGCCTTACCTGCTGTGCTATTGCTCCAGCCCCCAGGTAGCCCACTCTTAAGGGAAGATCAAAGAATTCAGAGTCAAGGGTCTGAATTTGAGGAACCATCATTCTTTCTTACTGAGGTGTATGTAAATACCTCCCCCCCCCCCCCCAGAGTGCCGTGTTGGGACAAGGAACCCAGGTCAGGAGAAATAGAGAGAGGGGGCCGTGAATACTTGCCTGAACTCAGAAATGCTATTTTTGGGGGCAGTCTTCCTAAGTGGTGCCCAGAAGATCTTGAGAGCCCTCCCTGAGTTTCTTTATCAACTGGACACTGAGCTAAGAATGTGGTGATATGGTGCTAGGGATTTGCTGGTAATACTGGTAGAGCTTAAGGACTTTCAGAGCTATTCCTGGTGATGTTAGGGGAATCAATGGTCCCAGGGACTGAATGGGAGCCAGCTGAATGCCAGTCATGTGCCTTATCCCCTGCGGTGATACTATTATAGTATTCCCTCCTTTTTCCTCATCCTAGACATCTCCTCATGTTTAGGTTTCCCTGTGTGTGTTCAAGAAATAAATGAGTGAAGGCAGCATGGTCTCTCTCTCCCACCACATGTGCATTAAGTGGCCATGAGCTGCTTCCCCACCCCAGCCTGCAGCTGCATGAGGGAGGGAGCAGGGCCGCCAGGCTGCTTGGTGATCCGTTGCCATTTATTCCATTCTCCCCACTGCCTGTTCCAGTCTCACTCAGCTCCCCATTCTAGTCTCATACTGCCCCTCATCCCTGTCTTCTCCTGTCCCCCAGGATACTTTCCCCTCTCCCCACTCTCTGTTCTGTTGCTCCACCTTAGTCTAGACCCCAACCTGAATGATTACTCAGGGTAGCAACTACCCCTAGGTGAGATGGCACAATCAACATATGTAAAGCCCTTCCCTTCCTTCTGGGAGAACTCTTCTAAAACAAAGATCCTTTGCTAGGCGATTATTAGAGGGCAGAATTTCATCTAGGGGTTCAGTTCTCCTTTCCTTAGTCCAACAACCATTTAAACATTCATCTTAATTCTACTTCTTAATGTTAGTCATTTTGTATGGACACAGTAAGAGATACATTAAGCTTATAGGGTGGCTCTCCTGGGGACATCTCGCTATAGATCCCAGACTACAGTGCTCAGGCCAGATGACCCCTTCCTAACCCTAAGCAGGGTCCTTTTCCAGTTGTTTCTCTTTGGATTGTCGTAGAATTTGCCCATGATCATGCTCTTATAGTTAAGTGTTTGGTGCTTGACCTGGCGGGTTTGATGCCAGGGTAGCTCATACCTTGTCCTGGGTCCATCCAGTCCCTCGTCGGGACCTTGCTTTTAGGGTGCTAGAAACTAAGGGCAACTGAGGCTTATGTCGAGTAAATATGACAGATACCCAGAAGTTATTCTGAGCCAATTAAGTCCCAAGTTACAAAAGCATAGCATTAACTGTCTTCCTGTATCTATAGAAAAGGACATTGTTCTAAAGTAAACTATGCCAAGGACATAAGGGAAAGAGAAAAGCGATATTTCACTTACAAACACAAATCCAGAGATCTCTGAAGAGTTTGACTTTACAAGTCACCACTCAGGGGAAGTGAGTGATTAATAGAGAAGTTAAAGATGAATACCAAGGAAATGGGAGTCCTTCGGGAGCATTGTATTACTCAGCAAAGCACAAACCAATGTTATCCTACACCCTGTGTGTGGCTTGTGTGTACCTGATTTCAGTGGGCAAACAAGACAGAAGGCTCTAGGGTAGGAAAGCAGAGAATAGGTTTGGAGTCCATTGTTAGGTGGGACAGGTCTCTGGAAAAGTGTCTCTGCGTGGGTGACAGGTGGGAGGAAAGATGAGGAATGGAGGTAGGTTCTCCAGATTCTGGGGAGAAGGCTACTTTATGATCCTTAAGTGTAGTGTATTGCCTGTCTTCCTGTTGGCTCAAGAATTGGAGACCAAGCGCATGAAAATCCTTCTGTTCCAGGCATCTGAGGAAAAAACCTGGGTGTGCAACCCTCTGTTGCTAAACACCCCTATGTAGTTGATGAGATGGGGATGTGGGAGGCTGCTTTCTAGGGATGTTTGGGACCTTCCCACTAGTGCCTGAAGGTGATGCAATACTTGAGAATCTTGTCTGCAACAGACTGGGTCTCTTTTGTTCTTATCTCTGGAATATCCCTCTCCCTCACCTCAGACTTGCCCCCCTCAGTACCCTCCCATACTGTTTGAGCAGCTGTAGAAGTTATTGGAGTCCATCACAGGCAATTACTGGGGCTGCTTGGCCTCCCCCCTGGGACTCTGGTATGAAGATCCAGTAAGGGGCCTGCTGAGGGCATAGGGGAACACCCAGGAGGGCTGTGACAAGGGCTATAGGACCCCCTGAAGATGAAACCTCACTATGGGGAAACCTCAGCTCTGCTGGTCCTGTGGAGGGGAGATACCAGCTCTTCCTTTCTGTCTTCTCCCCTTGCTGTCCTTGACGGTCTTGCAGAGCACTTTACTTTTTTGTGTGTGTGTGTGTGTGTTGTGTATAATATTATACTTTATTTAAAAATACATTTTTCCCAAGTTACATTCTTTTTTTTTACTTTTTTTAATAGAATCACTGTAAGATAGACCCCCAAAAAGCTGTTCATGATCAGATTTCAGTCATACAGTATTCCAACACCCACCCCTCCATCAGTGTACATTTCCCACCACCAATGCACTAATGTCCACAGTTTCCCTCCCATAACCCCCACCCTTCACTTCTTGCCTGCCTCCATGGCAGGCACTTCCTCCCCTCCCCCGTTTCTCTCTCACTCCCTCCTTTTGGGCATTGACTTCACTTCTTTAATTATTATTATTTTTTAAACGGAATCACCATGAAATACACAGTTACAAAGTTGTTCATGTTTGGGTTTCAGTCATACAATGTTCTAACATCCATCCATTCACCAGTGCACATTCCCACCATCATTATCCCCAATTTCCCTTATGCCTTACCTCCCCCCCCCCCAACCCCAACCATACACACACAGCCTTCCTCAATGGCAGATACTTTTCTTCACACATACCCTCCTTTGGGGTATTATGGTTTGCAATACAGGTACTGAAAGATTATAATGTATATCTCTTTACCACTTCACTTTTGACACAACTGGGCACCAGATTTGGGAGGTGCTTCTCACAGCAAGTAGTTCTTTGGGACACCAGTTTGGGTTGCTGTCCATAAGCTCGATGCTGACCTTTTCTACCTAGAGTTTAGAATATTAGATCCCCCAGGTTGAGGACTAAAGACTGCCCTGTACACTTGTCTGCCACTTGTACTTCTGAACTTCTGGCTAAGATTGAAGGTCCCTATTACTCTTTGGGTTTGATATATTTGCATGGCAGTTACCAGTTTATCAAAACAGTGATTCAACACCGGTTCTGTGGATCAGTCTGCAGGGATAAGAAGGCTGAAAACCTGCTGCCAGACCCCATGCCAGGCTGTTTCACTTGGGGCACCCCAGAGGGGGGTGGGTGAGACCCCTTTCTGCCCCAAGGATGCAGCCTCAGCAGCCAAAAACCTCTCCTGCCATGCTCACAGCTGCTCTCCACACACTTGGACTGAGTCTCACCCAAGAGTGAATCCCAGATAGCCCAGGTATGCAGGACTTTGTGACTGAGAACTCTGGATTCAATGGGATTGGGAATAGAGATCCATCACCTGTATCCCCCTATCTTCAGCAACTCAGCAGTCATGCCGCATAAGCCACCTCTGGCTGGTGCCAGATAATCTCATCACCGGCCACCATCCAAATCGCATGTCCCTCTCTCCCAGAAAGCATAACATGACATTTGCCATAACCATGCCACTGGACCCTGTGCCAGGCTGTTTCACTCAGAGCGCCCCAGAGGGAGGCAGGTGAGACCTCTCTCCACCCCAAGGGACCCAAGGGACCTGGTAGTCAAAAACCTGCAGAACTCAACTGCTGCCATGCTCACGACCGCTCTCCACATGCTTGGGCCTAGCCTCACTCATGAATGAACCTATTCCAGGACCGCACAGCCAGAATGCAAAACTTCATATGACACACCCTACCCATATTCCAAGAGTACTGCACCACATTTGATGGGGTTCAAAGTAGGAGGCAACCAATCTTAGAGGGAAATATCCAAGAACACAAGGCTCAACCATTAACAACATGTTAGTGTTCTCTTATAGAAGGACTTAATGGGTGAAATACAACAATCTTCACACTCTTTCCTCTAAGAATACTTTTTTGTAGGATTTTCAGCAGTTTTTCATAATAAACAATACAAAATGCATTATTTTGGTTCTGCTTTGGAGCAGGGATTGGAGTTCAGGATGGAAACATCCGAAATATGGTGGTGGGAAGGTATAATGGTGTTGGGATTGGTGTTTGAATATTAACTGTAATCAAATGTTGTGAACAACTTTATAAAATAAAAATAAATTTTTTAAAAGAAGACTGAAAACCACTGTTTTAGAGGAAACAGTTAAACAAGCAGGTGGAGGAGATGACAGGGCAAGGTCTTGGGAGAGGGTATGGCCCTTCCCTGCCTGCCACAGGAACACCCCAACCTGTCTCAGTGCTGGCATGTACGTGCCTGCTGGGAGCGGCAGCCCTCTGTGACCTGCCTTTTATGGGAAATTCACGTAGGCATGGTAGATCATTATCCCTACTTTCTTACTTCTCCCTTCGCAGCAGAATGGGGCTTAGTGGGATTGAAAATGCCAACTTCTCACCAAGCTGGTGGGTGACCAGCCCCCACCTCGAAACCTCCAGGAATGCATCCAGTGTCCCTCCGTAGAATGAAAGACCTTCCTATTATTCATAAATCAAGGGTTTCAGGAGACCTGTGTCAGAAGCTAAGTATTGGGGTCAAAAACCAAGTATTGAAACACAAGATGCTCTGAACACTCTTATCTGTTAGAAACTTCCAAGGGCTTTAGAACTCAGTGCCAGGAATTGGAGACAGAGTCCAGCAAATATATTTCTTAGTAATAATAACGTCACAGGGGCCAGATAGATAGTTCAGTGGGCAGGGCATTTGTCTTAAACATGACTGACCCCGGTTTGATCCTCAGCAGTCCATATGGCCCTTGCTTAGTGGTCACCAGAAGTGACCACTAAGCACAGAGCAGGAATAAACCCTGAGTACTGTCAGGTGTGCCTCCAAAACAAGCAAGCAAGCAAACAAACAAACAAACAGATAGGCAAGCAGTAGTAGCATCACAAACCAGGACATAATGGGAATGACATAAAAGAAGAGAAATGCCTCTAGCCTTTTTCCTAGAATGATGCCTGAGGCACAATAGGGGCTCAATAAGTAACTGGAAATGAATCAGTAATCAGCTGACAGACTGTTTTGTCCTGGGGTTAGAAGGGCTGACCCTGAGAGTCTGCATGAACTGTATAGCTGTGTGATATGTTTGTTCAATAGGCATCAGCAAGAGTGGGGTCAGACAGCCTGGGTTCCTTGAGAGAAATCTAAGTGAACAGTATAACTGAAATCTAAGCTAAGCCCCTCAACCCAGGCTATTGAGCACTGTTCAGTGGAAACTTGAGGAGATTGAGAGTTGGATTCTGGGAACAGAGGTGGATCTTAACATCACCTTTACTAAACATTGATCAAGCACCTCTACCATATTATGGCAAAGCTGTGCTAGCATTGGGGTGCACGCGCAACAGAATGTGGTGCCAGCACTCAGGTGCTCAGTCTCCGGTGAGGGAGAGAGTTCACAAAGTAAAGGCAGGTAGGGAATGCAGTGTTCACAGCCAGAATTTCACAGCAAGTGGTAAGCAGAAACATAGCAGAGCTGAAGCAAGAATAATCAGAAATTGGGGAAGCCTTGAGAATTTAATTCTGAAAGAAGGTACAGGATGGTCCCTCTCATCAGGGATGTGGGTTAGAAAGGGATTTATGGGAGCATGGAGGAGAGTGGGGTCATCTCTGTTGGGGGGAGTAGCAAGGGCAGTAGTAGGAGTGTAGTGCACCAAGTGGGAAGGCGGAGCTCTGAAGAAGGAAACAAGGAGAAAGGGTCCGAGGAAACAGGGCAAGGCCAGGGTGGGAGAAGCCTGTAGCTTAGGGTATGGATTTGCTTAGTAGGTGAGAAAGACACTAGAACGATTTCTTTCTTTTTTTCTTTCTTTCATTTTTTAAAATTTTTATTAGTGAGACACCATGAGGTACAGTTGTGGACTTACAAATTTTTCTGCTTGGGTTTCAGTTATACAATGATCAAGTACCCATCCCTCCACCAGTGCCCATTTTCCACCACCATGGATCCCAGTATCCCTCCCACCCCTCATACCCCCATCTCACCCTGCCTCTGTGGCAGGGCATTCCCCTCTGACGAGAACAATTTCTTTTGAGCAGTGGAAGATCATACTAAAAGCTGTGGTTTGGGATAACTTTCCTTAATGGCTGTCAGATTATTGTGCAGAGAGAGAGAAAGAGAGAGACAGAGAGAGAGACAGAGAGAAGAACCTATTTAGGAGACTGTCTGAGGAGGGAGAGTTTGTTTGGTGTCATGGGTGGATTATAGAAAAGAAATTAAAAAGCATCAGAGTTGGGAACAGTTTCAGACTCCTCTCCTCGGCAGAGGAGTTTGAGGCCTAAGAGAGAACCATTTGTGGGCCAGAACAACTTTGAATCCTGAGTCCAGGGTCACCAAACCCTTTGACTTAAAAGCCCCGAGCCCTCCCACTTGGGGAGGATAGGGAAAAATAAAAGGGAAAAATAAAAGGAAACTGGAGAGACCAGTCAGATTTGGATCAGGATCGGAACTGGGAGAGGGAAGAGTGTGTGACAGAAGGGGTATACACGTTCCCATGCCCCACTGGCCAGGTTCCTGTCAGGCCAGTGTAGCCTGGCTGAGGCCATCCTGGAGCAGTTTTAGAAGAATGCCAGGCTGCCAGAACTCCTCAGAACGATCATGCAGTGTCTGCACTGTGCCTCTGCCACCCAGAACTCTCTGAGTGGGGGCAGCCCCGGCCCTGTGCATTGGGCCTCTCTGGACAACCTGGACCTGGACCTGCACGAAGAGCTCTGAGCACCTGCCACTGGGGCCCTGGATACTGGGATACTGGAGAGTTTCCTCAAAGCCAAAGAACATCGTAATATGCCTTGATGTGCCCAGTGATCTTATCAGGATCCTCAGAGGGATGTCTGTGGCCACCTGTGATGAGGTCAGATACCATTGCTCCTGTCTCCAGCCAGGACCACCCTGGGGACTGGCTTTGTCCTGAATGTCAAACCGCTTTTGGCTGGCAGGGGGCGCAGGAGCCCAGGAAATGGCCACAGCCTGCCCAGCTTCTGGGAAGTTATATCTTAGACTGTTAGGTGGCCAAAAGGCACTGGTGGGGGGGGGGGGGGGGGGAGGGGTGTGAGAATGCAAATATTCACTGAGCACTTAGAAACACCCAGAAGAGGGCTAGGTCTCATAGAGAATGCAGGAGTGTGCGAGGTTGGATCTGGAGATTCTACAGTCTTTTCCCTCCTCTGGGCGTCAGGGGCCTTTGTAGGAGTCGAAGGGGACCCCCCTGAAAGGGACTCTACCTAGTAGTTAGGGACTGTGGGTGAGGTAATAAATGTACAGACATGTGGGTGGAGAGGGAGGGAGCTAGTGGGAGCTAGAGGAGGCTTTGGCCATGTCGAGTGATTTGAAGAACTCTGCTTTTTGGGTCACATCCAGCGATGCTCAGGGGTTACTCCTGGCTCATGCACTCAGGAATTACCCCTGGCACTGCTCGGGGGACCATATGGGATGCTGGGAATCGAATCACTTGGTTGGTTGGCCATGTGCAAGGCCAACGCTCTACCCACTGTGCTATCACTCCAGCCCCCTGGAGAACTCTGAATCAGGAGGCAACATGGGTGCTGGGGTCGGGTCAGGCCAGGGTGCAAGCCAATCTAAGGACAAACAAATCTGGCTGGTCTTTCCAGTTTCCGTTTTTTTTTTTTTCTGGTTTCTTTATTTTCCTGCCCTTACTTAGCCAAATTCTCATCTTTTCTCTCAAACTGAGATTTAAGTCACTATGACTTCCTCTTCATTCCTGACTCAGAGTTTCTGATACTCTTTTTTTTCTTAGTCCCTTTCTGTCTCTCCCCACCTCTGTGTATGAATTTTTATTTCTTCCTGAAACCCTAAGTCATTCCCTCTGCATGGCCTCTAAACCCAGTTTCTCTATCAAAGGGGATTGATAGAGGTTGAATTGAAAGAGACTGAAGGATGTGTAGGTAAGATATCCCTCAGGAATCAAGATCCAGTTGGAAACCAGAAAACACAGATGTGGGATTAAAGAACACCTCATTCAGTCCATAAATGTTTACTTAGCACCTAGTATTTAGAAAAAGAGAACTACTATTTAGAACAAGAGGCTGAGGCCAGAGAGAGAACAGGGTGTGACTCAATTTTAGTCTTTTGCTGGCAGACAGGTGTCACTATTTTCAAGAGTAAACAATCTCTCTGGCAACACTAACAATGCATTGTTCCATTTAATTAAAAAACATTAAAGCTTCTTTTGAAGGACATTTACCCCTCTGTTCAGGTTTGAACTGTCTAATAGAAATGCAGTGAAGGCCACAGTCTACATTTGGTAATTATATCAAAGAGCATAAAAAAAAGTCAAATCAGCTTTCTTTGTATATTTTATTTATATTTTATTTTACCTAATATATCCAAAATATTACTGGTTCTACATGCAATCCATATAAAAATTGTTAATGGCACATTTGACATTCTTGTTGCCGCAAAGCATTTTGGATTTGGTATTTTACAATTATAGCACATACAAAATATGATAGATTTTCATTGGAAATACTTGATCTATATTTAGTGTTCATAAAATTTAAGTATATTGGGGCTGGAAGCTAGCCCAAAGGACGCGTGCACATGCTTTGCATGCAAGAGAACCTAGTTGGAACATCAGTGGAATTCCTTCTCCCTCAGGTACGTACCCCTCAGCACAGCCAGGAGCAGCCCCTGATCACCTAGCCCCCGAGCTCCATTGAGTGTGGACCCCCAAACAACAACAGCAAACACAATATTTGCTTGCATAAATTAATCTAAGAGTTCCAAAAGTGAAATTTTATATTAGCTTTTTAATTTCAATAAACTGAAGTGAAAAAGAAATCCTAGGTGTTCACCTATCAAGTACTCAGCAGTTGTGCATATAACCACTATAATGGATCCATAGGTTGTGGATCTAGGGAGGGATTACTTTTTAAAATTAAAAAAAATTATTTATTTATTTATTTATATTTTATTTTTATAAATCACCATGAGGTACTGTTACATACTTACAAACTTTTGTATTTGCGTTTCAATCATACAATGATCAGGTACTCATCAGAAGGAATCACTTTATTGGCTACTTGACCACTCATTCACTAGCCATTTGCCAAATACCTCTTCTGCACAAAGTGTTGATGCTAAAAACTTGATGAAAAATAATATGCTTTTATACCCCAAACACAAAAATATTAAATTGAGAGAATGTATGAACATCTATGTTCATCACTGCTTTTAGTACAATAGTCAAGAAATGGAAACAACCCAAATGCCTAACTGAATGGAACAAGAACGGTATATATGCTCAATGTGATATTCTGTAGCTCCAAGAAAGAATAAGATCATGCAGTTTGCAACAACATGGATGGAGATAGAGGCTATCATGCTGAGTGAAGCCAGTCAGAGTGAAAGGATCAGACACAGAATGATCTCGCTCTTATGTGGGACTTAAAGATACACAGTGAGCCAGGCAACAGTGATTGAAAGGCAATGAAACAGGGAAACTGACACAATTGAATTGGGGGGAGTGATAGGAAGGGTGGATGAGAGGCAGGGGAGGGAGATGGATACCCTGATGATGGGAGTGTTATTAGGATTATGACCACAAGAAGCCATTGATAGTATCATAAACCCCCCCAAAATTAAAATAAAAGCAGAAGACAGCATACTTTTTCTGTAGGATTTCCTGTAGGGAGTAAGAGTAAAAAGAATTAAAAACCCTTTCTGAATCCGACCCAGAAAGGAAATGGGGGTTGGGGGAGTTGGGAGACTGACTGACAGCCAATTTCAGGAATAGCTCTCCCTTCAGCCTGATGGGGAACCAGCAAGCACCTCAGGATGATATTCTCCCTCTCTCTTTTCTTTTGAACATTATGCTTTGCAATACAGGTACTGAAATTTATATCCCTTTACCTACTCTCAGCACTCAGTTCTTGCCCACTCTGGACAAAAACACTCAAGAACCAATTGCAAAGTTGACAATGGTGAATCAACTCAGAAACCCACCATCCTTGCATTCCTGGGATGAAATCTACTTAGTCATGGTATATGATCTTTTTCGTGAGTTGTTGGATTCTATTTGCTAGAATTTTCTTGAGAACCTTTGCTTCTATGTTCATCAGGAATATTGGCATATAATTCACTGTTTTTTGGTGCTGTCTCTGATGAACCTTTGAATTTCTGTGGTTACTATTGTGCTATCTCTTCTTTTCTTTAATGTCTGCTCTTTCATTTCTTTTCTTATTTAAATTTTTAAAAAATTTTCTTAATTTTTAATCATTTATTTTTATAAAGTTGTTCATGATGATTTATCACATTTAATATTCCAGCATCAATCCCATCATCATTGTACCTTCCCACCACCATTATTTCCAATTTTCCCAACCACCACTCAAACCTGCTCTAATAGCAGCCCCAAATAATTTATTATGAATAATTAGCTAAAAATAATCAAAAAAGATTTCCTTAGAAGAAAGTTTGTAAAGATTGTTGTTCCCACCTGAAGCCATTAAGTTTTTGTGTGAGATTACTAAGATTTTCTTTTTAAAATTTAATTTTATTAATTTTATTTTTATAAAGTTGTTCATTACATTTAATATTCAAACCCCAGTCACATTACCATTCCACCTTCCCACCACCATATTTTGAATGTATACACCCCAAAACCCAAACAGCGCCTCCCAAAGCAGAACCAAAACAATTAATTTTGTATTGCTTGTTATGAATAATTCACTAAAAAATGGTTCAATAAAGTTTCCTTAGAGGAAAGTGTGTAAAGATTGTTGTATTTCGTCCAGGAACCATTAAACCCTTATATAAGAGATTACAAACGTGTTTGTTAAACCCAATCAAACGTTGTGTGCTACTCTAAGTACATCAGTGTGGTGTAGAGTATGAGAGGTCCCGCAAATGTGGCCATGCACTCCAGGAATTCTAAAATTTAGAATACGATTATACAGCGGATTAACTCATGGGTGAGGCCTATGTTGCTTTCTTCCAGGAGCTTTACTTCAGAGACTCTGGATCTTGGCCGTTGATGAGATTATGTGGCACCAGTTTTTGGGTGTGACTGCCAAGCTACTGGTAAATGTGGGAGATGGTGGGGAGGAGGCCCATTCACGCTCTGAGCGAGATTGGAGATTTCAATCATGGGTCCCATATACCTGGGTTTTTCTGCAGATTTCCTCATGGATGAGGCTCATCCGAGCCTGTGGAAAGCAGCCATGAGAATGATGGTGATTGAATTCTGGAGTTTTTTGTCTGCCAGGGATCTGTTGGGGCGGGGAGAAGTCTCACCCGCCATGCCCCCCCCCCCCCACCCCGATTTGCCCTAGTGAAGAAAGTCTAGTGTAGGGTCTGGACAGTCTGTGTTAATATTTTTTTTAAACTGAGATTGGTTGCCTTCTACTTTATATCCCATCCAATGTGGTGTGCTACTCCTAGTATATTAGTGGTGTAGAGCTTGAGATGTTTTGCGACTACCCAGGATTCTAAAATTTTGAATGGGATTGATGTAGGCAGATAAATAGATAGGGAAGGTACCTTCAAGGCAATGGCAATGAATTTTCTAGGAAATAATAATATCAATAGCCTTGAAGTAGCAAAAAGTAACTAAGCAAAGGCCTGATGAACCTTCACTTGGTACAAGTAACAGACCCAGAGAAGTATCCATCAGGAACAAAAGGCCAGGAGTAGAATTTCAGAAACTGTTGACAATGTTGGCGATATGAATAAGCTCAAGAGTTTTTGAAGACAGACCC